AGCTGAGGCACCCTGGAATCATCTGAACGTACTTCATCAGGAGGGTTTTCGACAGATTTTGCTCTGGCTCGTGAGAACCGACGGGTGCTCGAGTGGTTAGCGCGTTTGTCACTTCTCGTGCAAACGTGCGTTCCACTTCGTGAAATGCCGCAACGTCGCCGCTCGATCGGGAGGTGGCGTGGGTTCGATCCCTGTTGCCTGTTCACGAAAACTCAGAAATCGGCGAAATATGCAGTATGCATAAAAATATGCATTATGCGTGATGCACAGCCCTACTGATCACTTTTTCCGACGCGAAATTTTCCTTGAAATATTGTGAGCCACTCTCCAATAGAAGCCCCAACCGGTAGCATTTGAAGATATGGAAGACCGGGTCACTATAAGGAGATTTACGGTTTGGTCTCCGTCGATCTCCGATGCTCGTTTCCTTCTCGGACACGTAGAGTTGCGATATGAGAGGACACGTCCTCTTTTGTCCGCTTTTTTGGGGTTTCCTCGGGAATGTCCGCTTCCCGGAATTTTCGAGGAAATACCGCTAGATTCGATGATAAAGATTGAATTTCTGCGCTATTTTTCCGCCGAGGGCACCGAGGTCTTGGCTGCACAAGCGTGAGCCAGAGGCGCCGGGGGCTGGGTCGGAAATTTTCTTCTCACTCAGCAAATTGTCTCTGAACATTGCAAACAATGCTCTGATTCTACTTGTAGCACTTGTTGGACAGTATTGGAAGCATCGGCGAGAGTCGAATCCCAATGTGAGTCATTCTCGAGAAGGTTCAATTCTTGACACGCTTCTCGGTATGTCCCACAAACTTCACCATTGACTGTTCTCAAATCGTTGAACGCTTCCGGTCCACGGATGTTCACCAATAATAGACATTAGAATAATAGAAGGAGAGAACATTCTTGATTACTGGGATGTACTGCATATGTGCGGCCTAAAGCGCCCGATGACTACAGATCCGAGTATCCTGCCACTGGCTTGCCCTGTTCCCGCCGCTGAAACGTTCTGCATTCCATGTGTAGTATTTCGGTACTTCCGAATAGAGCAATGATGCTGCAAAAGGATCATTTGCACACAAGGCGAAAAATCCTGTGAGAGCGGTTTGCGGTGGTGTCGATATCCTCGATCGTAAATTCTGCGTCGTGAAGTGGACAGGCTGCCCATTTTCTAGGTGAATTGCTAAATGCATGACTGTTGAATACCGTTCGATCTCAAGACAGCCATGTCATGTCCTTTGTTTACGTACTTACAAATGTACCTGATGGATTTGACTGAGTTACAATACTCGACTTTAATATGTGCCTTGAATACTTTGGACGAAAACGGCGAAAACGGTGCAACCCATCGATTATCAAGCTCTATGTCAATACCGCGAACTTTGAGCGTACATATTTGACCTCCATCTGCCGGCGACGGTACGAAGGGTATCCATCGTTCCCCGTGATAGTTTCGGGATGAAGGTCTCTCGGGTACCGTTTCGAGCCAAGACCCTCTTTCATGCATGGCGACTTATCATTAATAGTACCACATTCGGGAGAGATTTTCTTCGCTAAGCATATCAGAATGTGAGCATGCGGCAAACCTCGCTTCTGCCAGTCTATAGAATCCATCCAGCATCGCGTTTCGCCGGAAATGTGATGCTTGATGATTGTATCTAGCATCGATTTCAACTTTTGCCTGAGAACCCGTTCGATGATGTCATGACGACCAGAAGGGGACTGGCTCGGTAGTAATAGCATTCTTATCTCTTCCCAAGTAGGGTTACACGTGAATGTGACAAAAAAATCTGGTCGTCCGTAATATGGAACATAAGTCATAGCATCTTGAGCATACTCGTGCATGTGTCTTAGACTTCCGGTAAATGATGCCGGTAGTATGACAATCTTCCCTAGGTCATTAGGATTGACATTCCCGTCATATCCATGGCATCACGTAAATGAATATATTCTTCAGAGCGCAGCTTGGTTTGATTCAGTCTGATGAACAGACGCCCGGATTCTATTTTCGAATACATACCAACCAGATATTGATGAAACCATTGTCGACAACGCAGGATATAATTGTCCTCGTTATGACGTATCATTATCCGATGTGAATAGTAATTCATAGCGCTGACTTTCTTAACGCCTCCATCACCGGCTTGTGGGTCTACCATTTTGATATTGAAATGATATCCGTCCCCACCTTGCCAGAATATGATCGGATATTGTTTAGCGTCGTAGGGACGATGCGTCTCGGACATTCGCTGGAGATTGCCAGCTCTCCCACGAAGAATTATATTGCGCGAGTTGAAATCTTCGCCTACGATAACAACAGCAACCTCGTCGATCGTTGGTGCGTTTTACCGTCGTTCGTGTTGTCCGGAGGGTGTTTTATCCGCCCTGATAACGATAGCTTACTCATCTGACGGCATGTACTGTGATGCTGTTTTGAATCGACGAATGAGCTCGTTATGCTGCTCGAAGAATTCTTGTAATGATATGAGGATGTCTCGGTCAGCACGGTTGTCGATCGCGCACCGTTGATAAACTCTCTCATTGCGATCGCCCATGGAGTGAATTTGCAGGAATTTGTGATCGGTATTCGTGATCGGCAAGAGGGATCCAGCCAAATGATAAATTTGCCCTTGTACTTTAAATGTTGGCATGAACGTGTCTGAGATGATCTCTTCGGCCTCGAATAATGTCACTTCGAAACACAAATTATGTTCACGAATGCATGATAGAAAGTGTTTCGAGTCACTCTCGAAACCCTATGTCAAGGTCGCTCAGGGCTCAGGAAGTGGATGCAATCCTGGCAATCTCACTTTTCCACCTGCACCGCACATGCCTGAAGGTTCGTTTCTGAATATCAAGGCATGACCAAATTGTACTGCTTATCCATCGGACCGATCACGATAGATGGATGATTGCCATAATCGCAGCGAGGATCGTAATGAAAAGCGACGTGATTCAAATCGTCACTCACAGAATCTCTCGCGTAGCGTTCTCCCTTGTTCGTTAACCTCACTCGATGAGCCGCTTGACTTTCAGTGGAGCGAGAGCTAGCTGTCCGAAAACGGTCGGCCCCCAGTCTCAAATCTCGTTCGTCGGACATTTCGTTCGCTGGAGCCCGAGCCTTGCGTAATCGATTAGCTTCGGTCCGCGATTTCCTCTGCACGTAAGTTTCTGAAACTCGTGATGCCTTTCGTTTCGCTTGTCGCTTCCCCCGTCCTATCGGCGGTCTTTTGGGAGGCATAGTGATCACCGCCACGGAAAAATACATTTCAATGAATTCGTGATCTGTCTTCATTCGCTGTTTACCGAGAATAACCTGCTTGCACAGACGGCAAAAATTTATACAAGAAAGCCTCGATCCTGGCCCCGATTCGACCGGCAAAAAATCATTGGTCATTACCTAACCGTCGAGCATCGATCGTCATCTGTTTAATTCACACCTCAACAATTCAGATTTACTTGTCAGCTGCTTTGCTGAACGCGCCATAATCTGATCTTCCGGGGCTCATGATCGGACTAGCATTCTAGTAGAGGCTTAGGAACGTGCGAAGTAAGATTGTATCGAATTTCTGATCTTGTGGAGACTTCGGCAGCACAGAGTCTAGAGTCCAAGAGATCGCTGGTAAGGGTCTCCCTTCTGTCGTTGCTTTACTCAGCCGGTGAGCCGCTGGACTACCTATCATATTTCCGTTCATACCCCGCCCGACCCGTAGGAGCTTGACAGAATCTCTCCCGCTGCAAGGCTCTTGCCTTGCGAGACATCGCACCTCCTTTCGAGCGTCCCGCCTACTTGTACCCTCTGAGGACTTTCGTCGACACTCATCTCAAGGAGCTCAGCATCGTTCGGGTATTGTGCGCAGGAGTATTTCAGGAGCGGCGGCTCGGAAAAGGAGGTGAAATATCGACTCCTATCTCAAGCTGTATGAAAATATGGACTATATAAAAATAGTCGGGGGAGCGCTCTGTTAGCCCTAGCAAGAGCAGGGATGCTACCGACGAGGTCGCATAGAGCGAAGTACCAACGGATCGAGCCGCACTGTTTGAAGTGCGGCTTAGACGAAGAAACCATTCCTCACATTATGACGGAATGCACTCCTCACCACTTCGATATTGACGAAGTGGCTAGGAGATTGGGTTTCACTGAACAAAGTGACGAAAATCTCATGAGAAAAACAAGAAGACTGCTGGAAGAATGGGAAAGAGAAACCCGGAGGATCTGCTGAGAAATCGCCCCTGAAACAGGGTCTCATGCCCATATGTATATATAGGCTCGAGAGGATCAATAAATACCATACCATACCATACCATATGTGCTTTTGCATTCTGGAACCTTTTCGCGGGAGTTCCGAATACGGTCCCATTCTGTGGAAGGGGTCCCGTAAGGTGAAAAGGTCTGGAAGCGCGGATGACGTCGTAAGCTGACCTTGCATTGAACAAAAAAATGAAGAGTCTTGAGGAGCGACGCTCGATCAATTGGATGAAGGGTATGTTGAGCTCACTCCGCCTCATTTTTGAGCTCCATGGTTGAGCTTCAGATTCTACCTAATCTGCGTAGAGAGGGATATATGTGTATATTTGGTAGAACACTCTATAATAAAGTTCCATGTGTCACTGCGGCAACAATACCAAAGAGGCGTTCTCTACAGTCAGTCGCTTCTGATTGGATTGAGAATCCCCTTCAGATGGGAAACCGAGCGCTTGAGACAGGTCCCGGAGTCGGAGGGAAAGAGTACGGAGTCCAGTCTCCGAATAGCACCTCTCTCTGGCACGGAACTTCCTTCCGAATTGGACAAGTGGCTCTCGGGAGAAGCAGGAGAGCGCTCCGGAAATTGTAATTCTACGGCGGAAAAAAACAAGTGTCGCGTGATTTTCCCTAATAAATAATGAATAATTCATGGCTTAACATCATGCGGTTACACCCATAGGCAATTACTGCGGCATCGAAGGTAAGGTGTATTTGTTTTTACTTGCGATACAGTCCCGACAATGCATGAATTCTCGGCCTACCACAGCTTTCCAGCTCCTAGACCAGCACCGTATCCGAGGCCGGCTCCATAAGGGAGACCACCGAGGCCGAGTCCCCCGTATGCAGCCACGGGAGCAGCGGCGTACCCGATCTTGGCGACTCCGATCGGAGCGAGGGTCTTGCCAATGATGGGAGAGTAGGAATCAGCGCGGGTAGTGATTGCAGAGCTGGCGATGATCGGGGAAGCAACCTTTGCGATAGCAGGGGCGGCGACGATTCCGTGTCCGTATTCAAGCCCAGCCCCGTAGCCGAGACTGGAGCCGTAGCCGAGACCAGAACCGTAGCCGAGACCGGAACCGTAGCCGAGACCGGAACCGTAGCCGAGACCGGAACCGTAGCCGAGACCGGAACCGTAGCCGAGACCGGAACCGTAGCCGAGACCAGAACCGTAGCCGAGACCAGCGCTGTGGCCTATGAGACCAGCCTGAGCAGAAGCAGCGAGAGCGGCGAGAGTGATGAACTAGAAAAGATGTCGAAGGCTTCTAGCAAGAATCCTCAATGAATATCCTGCACTCGGCCCCCTAGAAATCCGCTAATCGGTACTCACTGCGAACATGGTGGCGAATCGATGGCGAACTGACAATCTGCGTCCGCTTATATACAACGCGCAGCGTTTTTCTCTAACGCGACTGCCGCAGCCCAGAAATACAGTGGACGTCATTGTACTATCCTCAACTCCGAAAGCTGAAGTTTCTGAACATTGTATGAATAATTCTGCGGAATTCTGATAGCCAAGCGCAGTGATTGCGGCGCGTTGATAAACGTATATATCCTACATGTAGAAGCGGCTGACTGTGAACGGAGCTCACGTGTCTATGGTGAAGCAACTGGAGATTTCTGCAAGCGCGCTGATTCAGGTCACTTTCCGACTGCGCGTGGATCTAGATCGGAGGATTCTGGTTCGGTTCGAAGTTCTAGAGTGCCTCTTTGAGGACCCGAAGTCCGTTCCTGTTCATTCAAGCAACCCTGTCGAGGCGATATCTCTGTACGCTGAGCGGATCAACAGAAGATTTCAGCTTTGACTCTGCTTTGAGTCGTGTTCTCAAGAATCCATCGCATGGCCACTACTCGATTGGAAATCCGTCGGAAAGCAGGATCAATTCTTCCCTCCTACGGAGCCTCTCTCAGGGGATGGGGCGAATATTCCACGCTCCCCCGCTGAGGACCAGCCCATTCTATCAAAGGGGGGATTCAAAGGATTTCTTGGATCGCCACGGGGGCAATGCATCGGATTTCTCGGAGCGCCTCCGCTTTTCGAGAGCCTGTGTACACACCCGGACGTCTATGTTGTCTTTCCGGAGCAGATACTTCCGGATATGCGGCCATAGACGTCTCTTCCTATAGAAAACTGACTCCGGAAATAAATCTCTGCCTCTTTGTCGAAACCGAAGGATCTGATTGAGTGAGAGGCCCGGCGCGCCGCTCAGGAAGGGATGCACTGGATAGCAGCACCGAGATTTTACTGCCGATTTCGAGGGAGAACGCGGGGGTCAAGCGGAATCTGAAAGAGTTGAGCTCCACGAGTTCCTTATAGAGAGCTTCGACATGAAATCTAACTCAATGGCTTAGAAATCAGAAGGTTCTCATCCATATCCATGAACGAGATGAGCGGTGGGCTAGCCGGAATGGGAATTCCAATAACTAGATGGCAGCCCCGACAGAATTTCACTCGCCACTCGACTAAGGATGGACGAACGATTGAGCATCTAGAGAAATAGCGGAACGTCGCGGCGTTGTATTCCGCCACTTCTCCGAGGCGTAATGGAACTCCAGGAATCTTTTGTGTACAATTTACAATTTTATTGAGTAGCTTCTGTACAGGACGTCTGAGCTCCCGGCAAGATTATCACCAGATCTTTCCGTATCCGTATCCGTGACCGGCTCCGTAGCCGTATCCAGCGAGACCGGCTCCGTAGCCGAGTCCGCCGAGACCGAGTCCGTGTCCGTATCCTCCGTACGAGGCGATGGGAGCGGCGGCATAACCGATCTTAGCGACTCCGACGGGAGCGAGAGCCTTGCCGATGATGGGAGAGTAGTGATCAGCGCGGGTGGTCACAGCAGAGCTGGCGATGATGGGGGTGGCGACTTTGGCAACAACGGGAGCGGCAATGACCTTGTGTCCGTAACCGAGACCTCCGTATCCGAGACCACCGTATCCGAGACCACCGTATCCGAGACCGCCGTATCCGAGTCCAGCACCGTAGCCGAGACCAGCACCGTAGCCGTGGCCGACGAGGCTGGCTTGGGCGGAGGCGGCGATGGCGAGAAGAGCGACAAACTGTGGATTGAGAAGAATTGATAATTTTGAGGCCGGTAGGCCACTCAGGAAGGGTACTCGATGAGGTTTGACAATGAGTACTCACAGCGAACATGTTGAGCGATTGATGTCGTTTGCTGACCGTTGTCGGCTATTTATACGGTACAACTTCTCTTTCCGACCGGAGACTGGGCACCAATTCAACGCTAACTGACCACGCGAGCAAACCGGAGACGTCGGGTGGGCTTCCACTGAGGCCTGCCAATTCTATCTCCCGTTTTCTCCCGTCAACCAGAAAGCTCACAGAATTTCTCGGCTAGTGACGTTTGGTCTCATCGTATAGTTTTTATGAAATCGAGAACGAGGACGAAAGTTTTTTTTCTCCAAAAGAGTAGGGAGAAGCTCGATTCTCGTGCTAGGAAGCTTACCCGTAGAAGCTCCGGTACCGTTAGAAGAGTGGAGAGTCTAGGAGGGGGAGGACAGAAGAGAATCTTCCACTTGGATGATCCGGTTAAATAGGCATACTTTTTCCCTTTATAAGTCCAGGTTTCTGATTCCTCGCAAGAAAATCCCCAAGTGATCCGCCGAACGCTCGTACTATCTCAGATAAGTCTCCGCAGTGAACTTGAATTCGAAGGCCGGTCGAATATCGCTCACTATTCCGGAGAAAACTTTCCGTTAGCGGGCGTTGTTCAGTCCGACGGTTAGTGTCGAATATTGAGGCTCAGATGATAAGCGAAAATACAGGATCGGACTGGCATTCCAATCGGCGCAAAGATCCGACACCGAGTGAGAGCCCTTCCGCAGATTTCGGCCAGAAAAAAGCGGAAAAGTGTTCAACGGGAATTTTTCTAGCCGAAATTTTTTGAATGCCTAAGCGGCACTCAGAAGCGGTCGCGTTCAAACGGCGAAACAGATGCTGGTTGCGCAATTAACGTCGAAAAATCAGTTGCCCCTTCTGCGAGCCGGAAAGTGAAAATCAAGTTCAAGGGTACAAATGATATCTCCGACCGATGCCGGCGAGGCACGGGGACCACATTTATTCTAGGGCGGATATCAGACACCAAAGTCCAATGTTCCAAACGGCCCTTGCTGTTCCTCGCGTCCGCGGGCCCGAGCAATACTCTGCCCAAAAGAATTTCGAGGTAATCATATGTAATCTCTGATGCTGTAGTCTGAGTGAGTGGACAAGTCTGTTTCCACACGAGTGGAACTGCTGGCGATCCAAGATGTGATTCATGCACCCTTGAGAATACTTCGTCCGATATGAAAAGGGGAGATTATTAGCGCTGAAGAGGCGTTGGTTCGGATTCGGCCGTACGGAATTCATGCTTTCGTTACAGTCCTCAGCGTCAAACCGTCGACCTTGCCGACTTTTGGAGCTCCGCCATTTAGGCACACTGGTCAAGGAGCTGACGACCGCGGCTGAGTCAGCCTTAACCGCCGCTGAATCTTTTTCTGTGCTGCTTCCTTTTGGTTAGAGCCATTTCTCCATAATTGATGCGAAAACTAACAGGAGCCAAGATAGAAGCCCCAAAGAAGAATGACTATCACAAGTCCGTTGAACATGCCTTCTTTTATGGTCCACTGGCAATGGTTGTTGCAGAGATTGAGCTCCATTGTGAAGTCGTTAATTAAGATCGAATTATATTATCCTTCTCGATTCGTGGAAGTCCATCCCCGGGTGTGCCAGGAAGGACGCGACAGAGCTCGGAAAGAGTTCTAATTCTTGCGCTGAGCTCGCGGACGAATTCGGAAGCCTCCCGATCATCAGATTTTCTCATTCGTCTCCCAACTCTGCGATTCATCGCTCTTGTCGAATAGCGGATGTCGATCACAAGCCCCAGAGTCGAGAGGACAATTAATTGAGGGCTCCCATCGTGGTTCATGATACACCTGTTACATGCAAGATCCGCAAATTGTGCTTCGGCCGCCCTCTTGTCACCTAATATAATGATCGTTTTCTGGCGAGAGCGATGGAATTTCGTCTAGAAGCGACCCCACAACTCCAAAAGTTGCGATCCGAAAAGTTCCTGGGCTTCGACGCGGACCTCTGGTAAAGAATATCCAGAGATCTGCGCGGAGAAGTCCGGAAAATCCTAATGTAGGCGGCACCTCGACGAAATGATCTTGTATTCGTTCCGTTTGACTCACGGAAATTCGGCGAAAAACCGCAAAACTTCTGGTCTGCAGAAGGCGACTACAGGAAACATCCGGCTCGAGCCAGAATCGACAAGGGAATCCTTCGCACTCAAGCGGTATAAAAAAGTGAATCCACAGAAAAGTTCGGTCAAAACTTATAAGCTCGCGCAACGCGGAAGTTGTCCGGTTGTTTTCCGACTAAGTCCGCTAGCTCAAGATTGAATCGAACCGAAGGGAAATAGCCTCTCGCCAGTGATCGAAGTCCCCAATGCTCCTGTTCAGTCGGCACCACTAGAAATCACCAGAAGAGCTCCACTCTCAGCTGTAGTCACTCCTCAACCTTTCTTTGCTCTTCCAAGAGCGATTGAATGCATTTTGAGTGGACTGAGTCCACCTCTAGGCTGCCTGTGTACAAGAGATCGGAGCCGGGTCAGAGACGATTTTTACCGTCGGCGAGCGAGATAGTCGACCGCGCCGAGACGGTAGAAAAAACGCGGACCCTTCAGAATCCTTCAGATTCCGGTGAGTATTATCTCCGTTGCCGGAGAGATTCGTGAACACGAAAATTCACGATGATCTTAACTTTTATTCGGAACGCGGCGATTGTCCGATGGCATCCGGAATAGCTTAGACGATGCTGTCTCGTTGGGCAGGAGGATTATAATCATTGATCATTAATGATGCGGTTTTCAACTTGGCGTGGTGTTTCACAGCCATGGAATACCCAAATCAATATTCCGATTCCTAGCGGTATGAATAAACTAAAGCGCAGCTCGCTGGTCATCCGAGGAAGTTCAGGCAGATGAGAAGACCCATATGAACCAGTCCGCCGCGGAGAGCGTGTCTCGCGGCTATGTTATGTATTTCAGAATGAGCATACAGTAAAAGCTCGTTATAACGACCCCCATTACAACGAATTTCTCGGTACAACGAACAAGGAATTTCTCCTGCTTTGCCCAGCTCGCCACAGGGATAGTGTTGAGTGGCCTTCGTTACAGCGGAATTTCGGTACAACGAACCAGTTTCGTCGGCCCCTTCGTGTTCGTAGTAAAGAGCTTTTACTGTATACATATACAGCGACCTACCCTTCCACCCTCCACTTGAGTGTTTCGGTGGATGGTTCCACGGAACAAGACTGCCGTGGTCTGCCCGTTTTAGGGCTAATGCATCATACATACCGATCACTATGATAATTCTCTCGTACAGTCACTTGACACTTGACCCCGAGAATCATTGCCTCCGATTTGTCAATAGCCTCGAATTGCCCTCCGTGCATAATCCGCCCACTTAAGGCAAGGTCCGGACTGGGAAGGTAGGGGGGGAGCTCGGACATTTCATGGAGCATCCCTCAACGATTATTCCGAGGCGGGACTTCCACTTTATTAAAGAAGAACGATATCGGACTAAGCCTCCAATCTACGGGAAAGCACCGGCTGACGAAGATTTATTGAACATTGAAGCTGCACGTCTCGACCCAGTCCTCATTTGCGGCGGCGTCCCATACCTCCGAATCTCCCCATGTTTCCCATGCCTCCTCGACTTCCGCCTCCCATGCCTCCATTCCAGCCGAAGCCACCTGACATGCCGCTGAAACCACCCGGCATCATTTGCGCCGTGCTGAGGCTCGAAGTCGCCAACAACAGACCAAGGTAGAGCAGGAGCTTCATCGGGAGCTTTAAATCGGTGGTAGCACAACTGCTATGTGAAGATGACCACAGCGCCGCACGATCGATGCTTTATATCGGTTTGCTTATCGCGTGATCCTTACGAGAGGGACCCTCGAATCAAGTTCACAGTATCATTAGCAATATTATGACAGCCTCCGACGCCACGCGCGGGAGCACGCCCGATCGGCCGATTTTTTTGTTCATTTCGATTGCTTTCTAGCTTCATCGACAGCTGCTCAGAGAAGCTGAATCAGTCACAAAGACTTGATCGCATCAGCAGCTTCGGGGAACCGATCACATTCAAGCTCTCAGAGCTCGTCAGGGAAACTCTCTCGCAGACTGTGAATGTCGGTGCAAGGTCAAATTCGCCATCAGGAGGTCGTAGCCTCGATCAGTCGCGTGATCGACTTATAGAGGAGACTGATGATTCACGTGGAAAAGTTCGACCAGTCGAAGCATTCAGGAGCTTTCGCTCCATACTGGCGATTCACGGGTGCCCGTCCCTCTATTATGTACAGACTTCTATTGAACGCGACATAACTGACTGACCTCACTCGACGCAGGAGCGAAGGTCCAGGCTTGAGCTGTCTCGCAGCAGAAGTCGTCGAGGGTCCCGATAGCTGCTCCTCCGGGCGATGCACCAAAGAGCGCGGGACGATTGATGAGAGAAAATGCATCTCCGAAAAAGAAATTGCAGATTGATGAATCAGGTCTCTGGCTCATGAGCGTTTCGTGCTCCTGGGTCTTGAATCAACAAAGAATCGATATTCCATCAACGATTTCAATCGTGGTCTGCGGGGTGGATGCTTTAGCAACTAGAATCTGCCGGGAGGCGCCAAGAAAGCGATAGCCTCGCGTGAAAATAGTTCTTCGCAATGTTCTCTTCGATCTCGAATCAGGGCCTTGGCGAACTTAGCCCTGCCGACATCAGCTCTGTCCCCGAATCGGAGTCTGATTATACGGTGGTCCCGATAAGCGGAGTTCGCTGTGCCATGCACGATGGAGTCGTATCATTCGTTTCCGAAATCAACGGCAGAGCATCAGATATTAGTTCTTTGGAAGTGCTCGTCGAAGGCTCTGAGCTCAGATCGGAGCTCAAAGGAATATCGCCCTTCATCCGGTCTGGATTCGGAGGTAGCTGAATAGAGCTCTGTTCAGACGTATAGACTGCGTGGGGAGGCGACTCTCAGGAATGCTCCCGGTCTTGAGTAATCATTCACAGCTCACGAACATCTTTGGAGGCACAGTCGTCATACATCTCCGGGACAATTTTCTTCAGAGTCCGCTTCTTTTGCCGATTTACGCTGGGATGACCGCCGGAACCGTAACCGCTTCCCGTGAAAAAAAATAACTGTCTGAGACCGAAACTCTGCTAATTGATGAGGAAGCATCTATCCCAGTCGATACGCGTTGGCGGAATTCCGCGTTTCGCGTTTACATGTGCGAAGAAGTAATTATCTTGTATCCGGTGAACTCAGAGAATGCGGAGGAGGATTAGCTGGGATAAGTCACTATGTCCCCTGAGGAACGCAGGCAACGCTGCAGCAATCATGCCGCAGATATGCTCCAAGATTGAAAGAGATGAGATCCATGATCCGACCCGAAATCCCTAATGGAAAATACAAGCTGTCGCTGGAAACTCATCGGAGGGTTCGAGGATCTTTTCTGCCCGAAGAAAAGCCAAACCATGTCTGAATAGCGCGGCTGTTGTTTTCGAGGAGAGGGGCAAAGAGAGCGGAAAAAAACACGCACGCATCTGATGGCTGGGGACGGAAACCTTCGAATCCCGCCGCTCAAGCGTGCGCGGGAACGGAGGAGCGAATTAAAGGCATAGGGGCACATCTTCGATCAAAAGCTGTCAGTCTTACAATATTCCGGTTTCCCAAAGCATTCATCCCTAGCAGCGAAATGAAGAATGCTCGAGCCAGGAGCTTCTGAAAACGTCTCTCCATTCGACCAAGAACCCCTGTCCAAGCCCCCCTTCGGAGGGTCTCATTCGCGGCAGAGCGCGATGAGATAGTATGTTCCAGTACCATTATCCCGGAAACCTCCTGTGTAGCCCCGGGAACGCACTCGCATCTAGCGAGTATTTCTCCGGAGGCAGAGAGTTTAAATTGGGTTCTTTTCGAGAGGGAGGATGTCTTGGGACGAAAGTCGTTCTATGAATACCCAACCCATCCATCTACCATTATTGAAAAAAAAGACATTCTTTGCTGAAGTTCGTGACGATTTTTTTATCGGGACACGGTTTCGGGAACTACTTTCGACGGCCGGCGCCCATGCCACTGCCTCCACCAGCACCGGCGCCCATGCTGAATCCTCCGCTTGCGCCACCACCGGCACCGGAGCGCCCTCTCGCAGGCGAGGCGACCGCGAGGCTCAAGACCATCAGGAGGAAACCGAGGAAGACGATGAAATTCATGCTGTTTCTTCTCTATCAGCGGGGTGCAGAGGACGCTGAATGCTCTCAGTCCCAGAAGATGGATGCTTTATACTCTGCATCGCGTGTCGCGAACCCTCACTGACTTCAAAAGCTCAAAAACATGCGGAAACGTTCGATGCGATATCGTTTGCGTTCACATTCGAAAGGCGCAGCTACTAACGTTCCGCTTAGAGCGCTTCATTCGCTGTGAGTTTCATTTTCCACGACAGCTGCAAGCCTCTAATGGAGGAAGTCGTAGCGATTCACGCAGAGATGATGTGTTGACCAAAGGATAATTTCCGCTCCTGACGTGGCCGCACGGTTGTGCCCACGGGTGGGGTCGATGGTATAGTCAGCGACGGATTCACTCAATGGGCTGATTGGGCTATCGGGAGGCTGGGGCGGCGGATGTTGATAAGCGGTGGATCTTCGGAGAAGCTCGAATGGTCTGTGTGATTCTCGGACACGTCGGTGCAATGCTTTGACGGCCAGACGAGCTTACATTCGGAAACAAGTTCCTCGATTACATGCATGACTCGGAAGGCATTCTCAGCAGATCGCTCGATATTCGCACCCGTCCAGAAAAAAGATCCCTATCGGAACTTCAAAAAGTCCGGCTCTCGGGGCACGTTCTTCTATGAATCTCGTTGCCCTTCGAGCGGAACATCGGAGCCTTCTCCAACGGCATCATCACACTAATCAGCGATTAGGCCTCGGAATGGAGAAACCCGGGAAGTGGATTAGCTCCGGAGAAGTGGAGTCATTTCCACTGTCTCCCGCTTGCGCTTCGTGTACCGAACATTCACAGAGCGTTTGTCGCCAAATACAATGCTGAGATATGAATAAAGGAGCCCGAATATCCTGGATGGCGCACCGCGGCGCTTAAGCATTGAGTCCGTGGGACTTGCAATGCTCGGCGCGGCCCACGGCTCTGAAATCAACACAGATCACCTGGGAGCCCCAAGCGTCGTCGATCGGAATATTTGATTCCTCCCTCGATGTTGAATTCCAAGTACCGAGAATGGCGCCCACGATTGTTACAACGCTGTCATTCCCCGATAATGCGCATACCTTCGAAAGGAAAGCATGTGTGATCCGTTTGAGCGATTTCTCCAGGAGATGAGGCTTCCGTATAGCTCAGCGAGTACCCGGATAAGAAGAATTGAGTTTCCGGCTATTTTTCCGAGTACATTGAGGAGTCAAGGCCGACGATGGCACGCTCATGGACTTGCCTCCATGTATCCGATAGTCCCTGAGGTGACCAAGAAGATATTTCGCGCTCGCAGATGTATTCGTTTGGGATTTTTAATAGTGACTGTTCTGGGGCTGTCCTGTTCTCCTTCGAGAAGCAATGCCCAAGACGAAAGAGTGCTTCGAATCTCCTGCGGCTCGTTGAGGAGGCCTACGGTTCATTCTTGTATTCACATACCAGCAATCTCGCGCCAATATGTAGTCGGCAAAACTCGGGTGAGCAAAACGACTGAGAAGGTCAATATAATCAGAAGACCGAAAATCTTCCGCATTCCGCAGGGATCCGTGCCTTCCCTTTTCTGTGCTCTCCTCGGTCGTGCGTTCCTCAGCGCGGACCCAATAGCCGACATCCCGATTCAATGAAGCCCTTAGGCAGAAGTGTAGCCCCAACCGACTGCCGGAAATACTTTGATGCGCTCACCGGCGATAATAACGAGTTCGCAGGAGACCAGGTTGCACCTCTTCTTTATTCTTACGCTATTTTCGTTCCTGTCGCTAGCCAAAGACTCGTGCTTGATTGCAGACAGTATATAGTACAATATAGCCTTGGAGCTTGCGCATCAGGATGGATTCATGTGACCTCAGGATGAGGGCAAATTTTTTCTCCTGAGTGCTCTCACAACATGGAGGAGGGTTGACGAATCTTCGCTTCGATCCATTCGAAGGAGTGAGCGAGCGAGCGCTAAACTGTTTTCTTTCCAAGTTTATAATTCTCCACGTAGAATTGCGTGAAGAGCGTCAAGAAGATGAAGGCTTGCACGAGATTATACTGACACACTGCCACGGGATATCCACAATTGAAGACCGTGTTCCATGAGAGTTGCAAGGCTAGGATGCTAAATTGCATTATCTGCATCGCTGTCAGGTACTTTTTCCACCAGAGGTACGGTCGCAATCCGGGGAACGTTGAGAGAAAGTAGTACGTGTACATAACGATGTGGACGATTGAGTTGATCACCCCGGCATAGAATAAGCTCGGCCACCATCCCGATCTCAGATACAAGTAGAAAGTTAACACAACGACGGCGTGATGATAAACGTGGAGGAACGAGACGTGGGATTCCTTCTTCGCCAAGACGAAAAACACTGTGTCTAGAAGGTCGAAAAGGCGCACCCAGAAGTAAACGAGTCCAGCAAACACGATCATGTCCGAGTCTGTTTTACTGTCCAGCTCAGCCATCTTCGACGGGGGAATGCATCCGAACGAGAAATGTCCCTTGGGGTAGTGCCGCCAGGCGATGGTGATCGTGTGGTACGAAAACCACAAGTTCGCTATCACTTGCGACAGATTGAAAACACGAGTTGCCCATTTCAGGTTGTACGCTCTGCGCTTCGACATCCACGACGGTCCGGCTTTGAGAACATACCACAGGTACACGAAAATGATGCCGAGGACGAACTGAGGATGGTCCCAGACGAATCCCACGTACCGGTCATCGCGTGGAAGTTTCGCTAAGATATCCATTCAGATCGTGGAAAATCGACCGCAACTCCTGGCACGACCGATGTCCAGATGACTTCAAACAGGATGCTTTCCGCTATAAGTGAGACCTACCAGAAGGAAAAACGAGGAAGGAATCCCTCTAATTCCTCTCCCTTCGGAGACCCTACACGGGATTTCCTTTTAAAAGCAGAATGCGTCATATCATAGGGGAGAGCCCCTGAAGTGTTGTACCGTATCACTCGCTTCCGATCAGCTGGGACTCGGCATGTTCGTGAAGACAATGAATATCCTTGAATTCGAATGATTTCCACTCTCGCGAAGAGAGGGGCGTGGTCACGAGAGTTTACGCTCAGAAAAGTGGCGTAATGGAAAATCGATTCGAAACCTGGTGAATCCCCAAGTGATCGACGGTAGACAGCGGTGCATTGAATCAGCTCCCGACTTGAGAAAATTGACGATAAGTTGTGAAACGTAGAGTTTCAACAATGAAGATCGAAGCGTAGATCTCAGAAGCTGACGATAGGATACACTATCCTCAAAATACGTCACGATAACGATGCTTCATCAAACACAGGAAAAACCCATCCCAGAGTCAATAAGTGTCCGGGCCGAGCTATCAGCCAAAGTTCAAGAACGGGAAGTCGGGGGTGAACGTTTCCCCCAGTCCGCGACAAAGATTCCTCTCATGTAGGACTGACTGTGTGACTGACGAATTCCAGATACGGAATAATTCATGCATGAAAACTTAGTACGAGTTAGGGAATGAATCGGGAAACCACACGATCACTTTTTTTCCTTCAGTCCCCGAGATCAACAGCGTAAAATGCGTATCCCTCGAATCGAGGGCGTCGGATCGGAGCCAGGGGTAGGGGGGCGGACTTTCTCGAATGCCTCATTTTCTAGTCATGAGTCATGAGGCATTCGGGATTCTATTGACTCTTCACCCTCCGACCCCCACAACGCCGAATGCTCGGCCGAATTCGTCGCTCCTCGCTTCACCAGAGATTGGCTCTCGAATCTCGAATGGCACGAATTGCCATCGCTCGCTATGGGAGTGATCTGTTCTGCATAAGAGCTATCAAATCTGCTGGGCATTTTGCGATGACGGTCAAGACGGATGGTCAGCTGAAGAAAGAATACTTGTTGTTTCCTCGTTGAATCATCCGACATCTCGACGTACGCCTTATTTTTGATTCTATAATGAGCAGTGCCGGCCAGCCGCAATGTTCCGGCACTTCCGCCTCGACCCAGAAGCTGGAAATCTTGTTCAATAATCTAGGTATTACCTGCTCCAGATCGTTTCCTTGCCCTCCTCACGGGAAGTTCCATCATTGCCACGAGCTCCCCGTTACTCTCGGTGAATTTACATGATTTCACGTTTCCGAGTCCTGAGCCCTCTTCAAGGTGCAAGTAAATTCTGGGAGTCAGATAGAAAGTTCGATTTCCCTGTGTTTGCGGATGCGCGAGTCGAGTCCTTAGAGGCAGCACGACAGCAGAGCTGGCTAGGCCATCGTGGATGACGACTCGGAATCGCGGATGGAAACTTTTCTGCAGAAGTTCCTCCTGAGAATCGCGGATATCTTATTCAGACAAATAACGCAAGACTCGAGGAAAACTCGATGGAACTCGGGACCGAATTCCGTCGGCTTTCCGGGATCGCCAATGCAGCATCCGCCGGGGACACCTCGGCGGATCCTTACGTTCATCGATGGAATGCTGCGCAAAAAACGGACAGCGCTGACGGGGGACCCGGGGAACGCGAGTCAGCTTGACGCAGCTACAATTGGCGCTCGAATGGTGTCGTGAAGCAGTGATTCGGTACCTCGTGTGCGATAATGCCTATTCTTGATCGGCGGGCGGCAACCTCGAGCTCGTCACAAATTAGGCAATAAGCTTTGGGTCGGGATCTCCCCAGGGCCTCAGACTCGTGTGAGAGAATCAAGACTTGCGGGCGACTCTCGGTCGCTTGATGGATAAGGAGATGCACCGGACGCATTCGGGGCTCTTCGAGGACCCCCAGCTCGCACGCCGAGTCGTCTCACTCTGACGGCATCCCCGCGGAGGGGCGGGTAACTTTCGCAATCGGCTCCATCTGCCTGGTGCCGTTTTCTGTTTGTGGGCAATCCACTCGGCTCCCGTGGAGCGTTGAGGAAGTGTTCGTCGATGAAAGCTTCCGTAAAGCGCTTTCCCGACGCGGAAGTCAATCGTCGTCGAAGGGTGTAAGAAGCGATCAGTCATCAGAGATTCGTCACCGGAATTCGTCCGTGCATTGCGACCGGTGCCATCGAAATTATGACAATTAAGCTCAAATTAAGCTGAATAAAGATTTTCATGCTCCGCCCGCCATGCTAATTTCTGATGACATTTGAGACCCGTTCAGTGTGCACAGGTGTTTGGGGATTGATCCCATGGGGCGCGCGGCAGCGGAAAGGATTGCTCCGGATATGATCATGACAGACCGAATCCAGGGGCGAGACATACAAATTCGCAATACCTAATTTAATGCAGCGGACAGTGTCTGCGGAGCCGGCAGTTTCTGGGGGAAACTGTGATAATAGAAGTCGTATGTCTAGTGATGGCAATGTGAGACAGAGTTCACTCACTGGACTGAAGCGCTTGTCCCTGAACCTAGAGCCGACTCCGTCATAAATCATGAAATCTTGCGGCGTAGTGCTCTGAGAGAGTTATGCAAAGACCTCCGAATTCTTCCCGTTGGAGCGAGGACACCCGTTCCGGGAGAGGGGCGTTTTGTTATACGATCTGAGTCTCGCTTATGAATTGAAGACAGAAAATAGAACACCCTCTATGAAAGGCTCGGGAAGATGGGGATTTATTTTCGACTTGAAGCCTCGAACTCGACTTGAACGGCTGCCCTCTGGAATCCGCCTACTTGCGCCGACCACCACCGGCGCCGGCTCCTCCGCCAGCGCCTGCGCCTATGCTGAATCCCGCGCCTGCACCGCTCCGGAAGCCTCCACCTCCTGCTTCGGCGACAGCGAGCATCGAAGCTATCAAGAGTAGACCGAGGGACATGAGAAGTTTCATCATGAGAGTTGCTCCGGGAGTCAGGGCTTGATTTAAAGTTTCTGTTGTCAATTCGCCTGTTTTGCATTTTTATACTCGGAGGAGGGCTAAAGTCAGAAGACGATACGCAGAATCATTAGCAATCCGCGGCTTCGTGCACCTGACGATCAAGTGCCCCATTAAATCTCCCCTGACGCAGGCCGAGCCATTGTCATTCGAACGTCGACGACAAAGGGGACTTCGACGGCAAACAGGACGTCTACTCCGTTGTGTGGATGTCCTAGAAAGCTCCGAGCTGCGAAGGCACAACGGTACGATTGGGAATCATTTGAGCAGCAGCATTTCTGTGTAGGCTACCAGAGTATTTCAGAACCCGTCAAAGAGTCTAAATTTCTCTCGAGCTGATTTGCGGCGTCTCTCGAGAAAGGAACTATCATGAGCCTAAGCGAGAGGTCACATCTGATGAGATGAGAGTGAATTCCGTTCCGAGTGAGCTCCTCCGACAGCAGACCACCGGTGTCCTGCCTCTGTATTCTATTTTCCGAGGCTGAATCATGAGGGAATCGCCCGGTACCGATCTTCCCTTCGAAGAGGGCGATCCTGCGGACTGTAAATGCCGCCATCGCGAGCTCCTTTGAAATCTCATGATTCCATCCTAGTTCGCGAAGCCACGAACGATACGGTGGTTTCCCATCGACACAGTATTTTCATATTCAAGGCCTACCAAGTGTCTACCCGATGTGTGACGAAATCGTTACACACTCAAGGCGGTCATCCAGGCAATTCGCGTAGGTGTGGCGAGAATTTCGATACCGATTCCTCGATAATGATCGCCTCAAGCATTTCGACAGAACTTCGGAAACGCAGTCCTCGAAGGGAGGATACTATTATCGGGACCCTGATAGCACGTTGAATGCATCGTTCTCAGTACTCGGATGGAAACTCTGAGAGAGCAGGTCGACTTTTCGCGGATCCCTTGTGAGCGGGAGAAATGTCTAAATGGATTCTCTCTTTCCCGGCTCATCTCGAATTCCGGGAATCTCTAACCTTCCTCATGGCTAGCAGGCCTTGACCGGAGTTGCTCACGTTGGAACAATGAGCTTCGTTGGAGGATCGGTCTATCCATGGATAGACATTCTGTAGCAACGGGTGGACATCGGACAGTACTCTGGTCGATCCGTATCTATCAGGAACTCCCGAATGCAAAATTCAAGTTCGTTTGTCGCGGGACCGCGTTTCAGGTCCCGTGTAAACTGAACATCTAAAAAAAACAGGACAATCTTCGTTGATGCTCAGAACGACGGTGTCTATTTAGCATCGGGTCACGGGACAGCTTTCAAACTTCGAATGCTCTTTCTACTTTCGGCGTCTACCTCCACCTCCGAATCCACTGCCAGCTCCTCCTCCGACGCTGAATCCTGCGCCAGCACCTCCACCAGCCCCACTGCCTGCTCCTCCGGGAGTGGCCACGGCGATGGCCGATATCATCATCAGAAGACCGAGGAAGAGCAAGAAGTTCATCGTTGGGATCCTTTGCGTACAACGACAGCTTTGACGAATCGGTAGGGCGCGGGCCTTTTATTCCGCGTCGCGACTGTGTCACTCTCGCACCCGACGCATCATGGCGTGCTCCCGCGGCATGCGATCAAATCCTTCGAGGCGGCCCGATAAACGAGTCACTCTCTGTTCACGGCTGCAGCGGCCATACCATCATCATCAGGGGTCACAGGGTCCTCGTGTGAATCAGCTGCGGAGCATTCACAGGGATCTCTGCTAACGTCAGCTGTCGACCTCATTTCGCGTGATGCGACGAGTCGTCCGACCGACCTTGTATCCAAACAGGGAACAAGCGAGAAGTCGGAGTGTCGAGGAAACTCCGTCGTGATGACGACATCAGCTGACATTTTCATCGAAGGGTGGCGAAACATGAATTAATTGTGCGACTGGCGCGCAAATAGCTCCGTGGAACCTAGAGGTGTTCTAATGCTCGTCTTTGA